CAAAGATACTGTATGCAAATTAGGGCTCATTTAGAAAGGTCTTGTGGTTGCTGGTGGCTCATCATAATCAGTGGAGTAAATATGAATCATCTATAGCTTGTTCAATTGTCATCTCATTATTCGATATTAGTTACAACCGAACTTCCGTAGTATGTTTCCTTAATATAAGGAAAATAATTGCAGTTTTCCGTTAAATTCTTTAGTTCCCATAATCAACGCAAGTCGTTTTTTGCCGTATAATCAAAGGGATCTTTTTTTTAGCTTTATATGAACTACTTATCAAGCATTTCAGTAGCCATGAATAGTAAGGCACATTTTTATGTATTGAAGAAATACCACTTGCATTTATCGTCATCTCAACCATTATGTCCTACACAGCTCAAGAACATATTGATGAAGACTGTAGAGGTTTACTGGAAAATGATAGGTTTCGTTTTCAGATTCCAATGCTTGACTATCTGAATGAGTATTCTTGAGCCAAATTGATTGACAGTGTTCCTACTTCAACAAAATATTGCATTATTGGTAAAACATAATTACGTGTTACATGCACTATATTCGCGAATATATGAAAACTAGTGTAAAAATCACCTGATTTGGGAGGATCAAACTTCATTATCGCCAAGAAATTTCCGACGTTTTTCCAGAAGTATAATAAGGAAGAAGACAATCATGGTCAGTATCAATAAAGGTATATGCAATATATTTATGCATCATTAGGAGAAATATTGTCAAAGATATCACAACTCCTTGAAAACGATGAACACCTCCATAATTGTACGAAAGTTTCATGGTTCGGTCTGACAGAGCTCTAATATTCTTGTCTTATGTGTCCCAGCACTGTTTAATGATAATTCAAAAGTGACAGTCCATGGAAGTACGAATTAACAAATATTGACAACTATCGGAAATTAAATTACCGAATAGATAAAACTCCAAGAATCTTAACGAACGTCTAAAAACATGCCAACTAAGTCAGTCTGAAATAGGCAGATATATAGATGTTGATCGAATAATAGATTATTGTGGAGAAGTCACCCACCACACAGTGAGATGCCAGTTGTACAAAACGGCCAACAAGTACAGAAAAAAGTTAAATACAGTTAAAACTGTTGATGGTATTGTCATCAGAATTTACTACCTTGATGTTTGTGCAATAATTGAAATACCTGCTTTTAAATGAACCCACCCATACATGGTACTGCCCAGAGTGACAACAAAAGTTTCCTAATTAAATCATGCATCTCAAAAACACCCTTCTAAACTATATATCACATTCAGAAATCTGTGACGGTGAAGGTGCTAAAAACAGCAACGATGTTTGAAAAGTGCTTCCATTTGGTCAATTCTCTTAGGACTAACGGGTTCAGCATCTACAAAGAATGTATGCTAAGTTAACTATCGTCATACACCCATTTGCACAACTAAATAATTAACAAATAAAATTTGTCTACTTTTAAAGGATAGGTAGTACATAATAATTTGGCCAGTAAACTATGTGACGTATTTGTCGGATAATGAAAAACTCAATTTTTCAATAATACAGATAAAGATACAAGTAATAGCTGGTTTAAATATGCACTAGTAAGTCCTTGAAAAAAAATACTGAACCTCTTGACAATTTCTTTGTCCTTTCTCACGACTCTGCATAACTTAGTGCTAAGGCCTTCAATCTGCACACTCCGTGGTATCCAAGATTTTTCTCTTATTTAGTTAGGATCCAGTCATTTATATTTCAGACATCAAGTAATTTTTGCCGTAGAATCACTTTAATTAAATAGTTCTTTCAATTTAGGTTGCAGGTTGCAGATTGAATCCTTTACTGACTAAAACTACTTTTAAACTACATAAATGTTTCCATAAAAAACATGTACTGATAAACATGCGTTACTGTGTATCAGAAAGAGTCGCAAGCAGTGCATTGTAAAATTGTAACATATTTGGAATTTATCATGAATTTTTCTAATAACATACATGGGAAAACGATTAGATCTTCACCAAACTTTAATATGCAGACTAAATCTTGATGAAGATTTGATTGAAAACATTATCATTTGCTTATAAATAATGTTAGAATTTTAAAATTGTCCCGTTCATTATGATATAAATATATGAACTTATTGTGGGTTGATCATAACTCACAGTTCAATTTAGCATGGAGTCTCACTAGATTCATTTGACACCTAAAGGTTCAGATTGATATCATGAATAGATCAATGTTAAACCACCATTGAAAAAGTCCAGACACTAGTACGAAACTCCTCAGTAGTGCGCATCCACGATCCCACACACAGGGTGCGCGAACGCCTGAAGTCTAGACCACTGAACTGGCATCCAACGGTATTAATGTCTAACGCCAATGAACCCACGAAGTAGAGCAACGATTCACCATTATCTTCAGTGAGTAATTAATTCACAACAGACACGGTTAAACTCCTCTAGTCACAGCTTCTCACTAGAACTCCAGGATATCCATCTTGAAGTTAGTCACTAGTTAGCATAAAAGTTCAGAAATATTCGTGTTTCCACCTTCATTGATGTTGGAAATTCACTCAATGTAACATTTTTTACTTCTAGAGCAGAAATATTTTTCCAGTATTCAGTTAACTAAAAGTGATGATATGTGAAATTATATACTGCTTTACTTACACACCAAATACTTTGATCTTCTCAACACAGTTCATGCTATGTCCAGTCACTTAGACTGATGGTCGCATTGCAGCTTGATCGATAGAATTAGATCCACATTAAGAAACGCCTGATACACTGGACAGTGATCAATCAATCGTGAAAAGAATTGTAGTTATAATTCTAGTGAACCATAAGTAAATACCAAAGCACAAATCAGAGAAAAATTCAATTCTACAATTTACCCTGTATTTAATGTACAGTAATAAATAAATACGGGTTGAAATTCATTATTATATGGAGTAGAGAGTGAATTGTATCATTACTATTTTCTAGTCCTTGTCATACTGTTAACCAAATGCATTATCATACAGTTTATTTTTGTTGAATAACAACTATACTGTCTTTAAAGGAGGATTCCATTAATTGAAAGTATAAACCAGTTTGCTGAAATGAAGTCTCTTAGTACACCTCTTAATATCCAGTCGGTTCCATTCATTATTCTGTTGTAAATAGATTAGCTTGGCAGAGATTTAATTAGAGTACTCAACTGACTTCTTAATATGAGAATTTAAAGGATAGATAAAGTAGTAATTAAATCAATTTATTGAATCCTTAAATCTACCGGCATTTACTATATAGTAATGATGTAAGCAACTCGTTTTATGGCTGTACGCCTATCCGCAAGTTAGGAGTTCCCTCTATATAAATGCTGTTATATATATATATATTTCAAATGGGTCGAAAGTTTCATTACTTCATAATCTTAAAACTTTTTTTAAAACAACTTCAATTTCAGAATCGCTATTTGTAGAGATTTTACTAATTTCAATAGTTAAATTCATGAGTCCATCTAATATATACCATCATTGAAAACTTGGATACACTGAGCGAAAAGATCATGTATTCATTGAAGTTAGACGCTAATACCATTGGATACCGGCTCATTAGTCTCGAGGTTAATTATTAGATCGTAAGATCCAAAGTCCTAAGTTCAAATGTCTCATGCAAGATCATAAAACCCTACTGCTGAATAATCCCATACCAGGAAGAAATGACCGTCCATAATTTCCAGGTTTTCCATTGATTTTTTAACATTAATCGATTCATAGTTGAAATTGTGAGTTAATTGAAGCTAGACCACCATGGAAAACCTGTAAGCACTAGACGGCCGTTTCGTCCTATTATAGGGCTCCTCAGCAGTGCTCATCCATGAACCCGCTCTCGCGAGATTCGAACCCACGACCTACCGGTCTTGCGCTAGAGCACTTAACTGATAGACCACTGAGCTGGCATCCAACGGTGTTAATGTCTAACTTCAACTGATCCACGAAGTTGAGCAACCATTCACCAATTGTCTTCAGTAAGTTTCTATCTCACAACAGCTCTAGTGAGCTCTAGTGAGAATCAGTGACCAGTGGAGTTCAAAACCATGTCTGTTGTGAGATAGGAACTCACTGAAGACAATTGAAGAACGGTCGCTCAACTTCGTGGATTGATTGGAGTTAGACATAAACACCATCGAATGACGGCTCAGTGGTCTATCAGTTAAATGCTTTAGCGCAAGACTGGTAGGTCGTGGGTTCGAATTTCGCTCGGAAGAGTGGGTTCGTGGATGCGCACTGCTGAGGAGTCCCATAATAGGACGAAACGGCCGTCCAGTGTTTCCAGGTTTTCCATGGTGGTCTTACTTCAATTGACTCACGCTTTCAACTAGAGTAAATACTAAATCTCCACAAAACCCCATTCTGATAATTAATCGATTCATAAATTCAAATATTTAACTTCAATATCTTTAATTTTCCTTTGTGTTAAATCACTTTATCAACACCTACATTAAAAAAATCTCTTTTCTTACCAAATATTTAAAACTTGGAAACGAAAAGAAAGAAAAAAAGAAAAGGGAATTACTAATGGAATGTTTGTCCACATACCATTTTATTTTACATTTCGTAAAATCATTTATTTTTATCACCGGTAGAAATACAGTTTAAACTAATTGACAAACATTAATTGAATATGATTGACTTAGTAACAGAAAAAAAGGGAAAACAATTTTTTTTAAAGACTTTCATAAATTTAATTATTCCTATGGGGTTATATAATGAATATTGTATAATTAGTAAAAAAAAACTTTTCACGTAACCCTTTTTTTTAATAGAATTACTCTATTTGAATCGGTGATAGTAAACAAGCAAACAAAGTACAAATCCCTTCAAATACATATATAGTTTTCCCAATATACTTTGAATAGATAGATGGATGTCAGATTATATGTACATATGTGCATAAGTGTACTTGAACATGTGTTCATGGTGTAAGGTTTATAAATACCTTTGTTTACTATATTCTATTTTTTTTCTATATTCATTGTTTAATTGAAGTGAAGTACACTCGAACAAAGTTCACTAAAATATATTTAGACCACATGGAAACGTAATAAATATTAGAATCTATCATTTAACCAATCATAAATAAGAGAATTACTATGAATTAACCGGTACTATTATTATTATTATTTTGTTCTTTAACATCATTATTAATCATAATAAGGTACTTGTTGCTACTATTATTAGTATCATTGCTACTATTAGTTCAATATCCAATAATATTTCCCATGAAAATATTAGTATAAAAAAGAAGGAACATCCCTAACTACTATTGTATAAATATATAGACAATATACTCACTGAATTACTAATTATTATCATCATCATTTCAGGATGTCAGTTTTCAATGGTCATCATAATGATTATTTAAAAAAAGAAATCAATGGGCTTAGAAAATGGAAAATAAATGGTGAGCAAATAATTGAGAAATCAATTAATATACAAGAAAATGGGAAACACAGTAACAATCATGATGATAATCATGAAGGTATTTTACAGAATGAGGAACAAAATAATCCAATGAAAAATGGTTGTATATTAAATGAAAATGAAAATGGGACAAAAAATGATACTTTGAAAATTGAAAAATTCAATGATGATAATAATCATAGTTACATAAATGGTGATAATAATGATAATTTTGTACCAATATGTAAACCTGGACGTTTCATTTGTCGGTAAGCAATATACTATTGAATTTAATGTAATGAGTCTAAGATTATTTGAAGTGTTATTCATATGAAATTTCGATAGTGTAATAAGAAGACGAAGATTATCAGAACTATGTGCTGATATACTAACGCAATACATTTTGAACAATCTGATCACACATAATATACTTGTTAAGAACATTTATATATATAGAAATAAAGAGTCAACTACACTGGAAATGGGGGTAGTAAGAGTAGACAAGGATAATAATAATAATAATAATAATAATAATAATAATAATTTGAAAACGATTTGAAACCTAATCACTTTCGATAATAGGCTAATATTACCAGGTTAGGTTTAAGGTGAGAACAAACGGATTTTGAATACAAAAAGAGGGTTTGAATTTTCATATGGTTAACACATTTAACCACCCTGCAAAACCTGAAAGCATCGGACGGCTATTTCTTTTTATTGTGGAACTCCTCGACAGTGCGCAACCACGACCTCCCCTCGCGAGACTCGAACACAGAACTTATCAGTCTCGCGCGTTAGCGCTTAAACACTAGACCACTGAGCCGGCATCCAACGGTGTTAAGGTCTAACTTCAACCAATCCATGAAATTAAGCGACCATTCACCATTGTCTTCAGTGAGTTGATATCTCACAACAGACCTAGTTGTACCAGGGTCTCATTAAATCTTTCATAGTATCAGTACACAATTGTTGAAATGATAGTAATTTTAACCAGTTTATAAAGTGAATAATTCTTCATTTCTCAAATACAAGAAACATTTTCATACTTCATATTGACTGTATTATATATTTGCTTCTGTAAAAGTTTATCAGGTTATCTATTACTGATCAACTTAATAGAAGTCAAGATAGATTTCATTTAAGGATATTCATTTTTACCTTAAAAATATAGTTCTCTATATTTAAAAAAGGATATTTCTTGCAGGACATTTCAGCAACCGTAAAGTAATTAACCTAAAGTGTAATTTATATCAGAATTTATCATTTATTGATAAATGTATTTGCCTTAAGGATACATTTTGCTGATAAAATTTTGTTTTAGATTAAAAACTTGAATAGCTATCAATTTGATTAGTAGTAAATGCTTTTAGAACATTAATTAGGTGTAATTCTATTCAGTTTATAAACCAATCTAGGTTAGATAATCATTGAAAATCTGGAGGCACTGGACTGTCATTTCATACTAGTATAAGACTACTGAGCAGTTTGAATCCAAGATCTCATACGTGGGAATTTAGTCCATAATCCATAATCTTTAATATCTAGGTCACTTAGTCGGTGTTCAACAGCGTTAATGTCCAAATTCAATCAATCCATTTGATCATTTGATTAATTTCTAGATGTAGCTAAGATCACTATGTGAAATATCTATAAATCCGAATTCTGTTTTGTATTGCTTATTTGTCTCTCAACTTAATTTTGCAGATACATAATTTCTTAGTCTTTTACGCCATTTTTAATCTTATCTTTTTTCATAATTTTTGGAAACATTAAACTACCTTTTACTTTGATACATAGGCTTTTGATGAGTGATAGTTTGAGTTCAGGCACATTAAAACTCAGTTATATATTCCTTGTTATTTTTAAATATATCTTCGATTCAGTTGAATACTAAGGACGTTGATTTTGACCTATTTCAAACCAACTTCTAGAACTATCAAATAATAGTGTCTTATGTGGAGCAAAATTAAAACATTTCAAGTTAGATATTCAAAAAAGTATTCACCAGTTGATAATTGTTAACGGTTAGTATTACTTACAATTTCAGAAATTAAAATCATTAATTCGATCAGGTTATACCAATGTTTTTCATAAACGTTTAGTAAAGATTAACACTAATATCACAATGTGATGCGTTCTACTGATATCGACATGTATTAGTAGTATGCATCATCAATCAAAAGAGAAATGCTTGGTGATAGAAGGTTAAAATGGTCAAAGAAAACAGAACGTAAACAAAGAATTATTGATTTGAAGACAAAAGACCAATGAAGTCTGAGACGATTAATTAACAGTTTGCAAATGAATTATCTACTGTACAGTTCTCAGATTTTAAGATAATTCGTAATTTTATGTTGCTAAGATATTCGATTGTCCCTACTTCTATTCACGTTCACAACAACGATACCATTTTTTACAGGTATAATGAATTAATATAGCTCAATCATGTATAAGATTTCTAATTGTGTATATAATAGATATTCCAATTAAATAGTAGAAATATCTAAATTCCTGTTTCGAACTGATTAAATTAATCAACAGTAATAGAGAATATTATTGTGTCTACAGTTATTTTCATGAACTGTTGCTTATAAAACTTGTGATTTTAGGTGATGTCGAGGTAGTCTGCATAGGATGCACACATGCCAACAAGAGACTAATCAATTGCAGTCAAATATAACAATGGGAAGATACAAACAAAACAACAACACTTGAATTTATCTTCACCCAATTGCACAAGCAAATGGCTATTAGGACTCAGTAGTTAATTGAATAAGACGATGGCATTTGAAGCAAACGGTATTGAGTTCCAGTCCCAGAGGGAACATCAACTCTGGGATGTATGTACATCCAGCTGACGAGTCCCGAATAGGACGAGACGCGCGTCAAACTGGATTCCACTGCTAGCCACCATCTATCTTTGCTTATAATGCTTGTCAATTGAAGCTATGTCGAGGCAATACACACAGTATGCACATATGCCAATATGAGACTGATAAATTGCAATGCTAAATATCAATGGGAATATTCAAGTAAACCAAGTGAATATTAAGATAACATTTTAAAACCATGACCTTCATGCTTTTACTTCGGAAAAACTAAGTAAACTGGTTAACAGAATTGTATATTATATTTACTAAAATTTCACCACAAATGGATCCGTCAAAAAATAATTTCTTTTATTGTTATTATTATTATTCAATATTATATTTTTGGTACAATATAGAATTCTCAGCAAAAAGTACTTCAACAAGTTTCCGTTTCTTAATTCTTCGTCCTTCCTGACGATAAATATTAGGTGATCGTCGGTTAGAAGTTAGCAGCCCAGTCAATCGACATCTGGATAATGTACATTCTTGTCGCTTCATATAGCCAGCAACCACGATATCTCTGATTAAGCCTTCTGTAACCTTTACAGCGAAAGGTCTTACACTTTTCAGAAAAGCACCTGATTAGGTTGTGCGATTAATAGGCATAATGATGTATTAAAACAAAGAAAATCAGATAACTTGTTGAAATATCTAGATGACAGGAACAGGTAGCCCAGATGTTTAGACAAGCCGCCTGAACAATCCACTAGTGTATAGGAATGAGTTTAAATAAAGAAGTTTGTTGTATGAATGTTCATTATTTATTTATTTGAATGTACCACAGAACAGTAAAGAGTTGTATTGTCTTGTTTTGGAGTTTACTGAATAGGCTATAAACATATAGAATGATAGTGGGTTTAGTTTAGGAAGTTTATGTTTGTTGATCGATAAGATACCTTTTGTTCACTGAGTTGGAACTCACTAGTCCACAACATCAATTTATCTGTGATATACGTAGTTGATATCATTCATTAATCTATGAATGATTTTTTGATATGGTTTATTTTATCAGTCATGGTTTCCCATTGTAAATTCAGCTAAATCCATCTTTACATATCATTAATGAGAAAAGTGTGTTTTTCTATTTTATTCCCTTAATGCTTTTTCCAACGTTCCAATACATACATAAAATATAATAAGCAAAGTATTCTAAATATAAACTAATTTCTAAATGTATATGCATTAGTAAACTTTCGAATTAGTTTATAAAGGGATCATAAAACTTTACTTTTTATTTTAGAAAAAAAAACATACCAACACAAAAAACTGAATTTTTCACAAACACAGTTTTCGATATACATATACAAGCAAGTATTTTCTGGTCGTATAGTTTACAAGTTATCCCTTGAAAGAATATCAATAAATTATTTAATACGATTGTCATAATGAATCCCCTTGGTATTGTTTGTTTGAATCTTCCCATTGATATTTAGGACTGCAATTGATCAGTCTTTTATTGTCGTAATGATTTTAAGGAATCGTCGAACAATAATCTATTTTCCGATAATGATCTTATACGTTGTTGTGTTTCTTTTTTACTTTCTGTTAATCTATACTCCCTCAGTTATGTCTATGTATATTACAGACAATATTTAGAATGTTTGACAAGCAAATAAATTTGTTTATTATATATTTCCCGTTTGTTTTTAAACTAAGATATTGTAAATAAACAATATTCGTTTGATTTAATTCTTATCAGATTATACAAAAGTGTATAAAGGAATTTGTTCAATAATGGAATTTCTGAATTAGAAATTGTTTATAAACAGTAAAATGTTTAGTAGTCTAAGCAAAGATGGATAGTCGCTAGCAGTTGAATCCAGTACGCGCGTTTAGCCTTATTTTGGACTCGTCAGCTGGATGTACTTGCATTTTAAAGTTGATGTTAACTCTGGGACTTGAACCCAGCAATTTTCGCTTCAAACGCCATCACACTATCCACTCAGCTACTGAGTCCTGATAGCCACTTGTTTGTGTGATGGGGTGAATTTAAAATTCACTTAAATTCACTTCCCATTGATGCTTAGGCAATATCGAGGCAATACACACAGTATGCACATATGGCCAATAAGAGACTGATCAGTTGCAGTTCTTAACATCAATGGAAAGATTCAAACAAACAATGCTAAGTGTTTATTATTATGTTTCAAAGTTAGAACGAACTGTAAGAATGAACATAGTAAATATAAATAACATGAGGCAAAAGAAATAATATAATATTTTGATAATCAAACCAAAATTATAAGTGGTATTTGTCACAAAATAATATCAGTTAGATAACCGTTAAAAATTGGAAAGAATTAGACAGCTGTTTCACTGTTGTATGGAATTCCTTAGCAGTGCGTACCGATGACTAGAAACAAAACAGAGGAATTATAATTTTTTTATTTCCAGAACAT